TATTTTTTTTTTTTTTTTTTTTTTTAGACAAAAAACCCAGAAGCTGATAAAATTTGGGGTAAAATTCGGGGGGGGTGGCCGATGTCCGATATTCAGTTTTAAGGCCGATACAGGCCGATACCGATAGGGGGCCGATTATATCGTGCATCCCTAGTCTTGGCCGAAACTGACAACAAAAAATTGGAAAACCAAGACTGAAAACCGAAAACTAAAACACCAAGATAAGTTATTATGTTAAATATTAAAATTATAGCGTTTTTGGTTATGATGTGTAAACTCCACACGCTTAACTCTACCCCACTACCTGCGCTCTCTTGCTTGAGGTGCTTTACTTCTCACGTGTAGCAATGTTTCTGCATTCTGGCTGCGCTGTTTGCTTGCAATCCTTTTCCCCCCTTGCTGGATGTGCAGTTTGTCAAGTCATCACAAGTTTTCGGCCATGTTGATTTGGAGTTAAATGTTTGTTGACTAAAATCTGAAAATTAACTTTTCGGTCTTTACAACTGAAACTTTTTGGTGCATCCCTAAAATAATCAACTTATTCTGGCTTTAAGTAAACAGAGGTAATGCTGGTAATACTAACTGTCCCAAAGCAGGAAAAGGTCCTCAGATCTAACGTCAGACTGTTAAGTTTTGTTTTATGCAACATATTTAAACATCTTTAATAAACTTCAACTAACAGATATGTATTTTTTTTGTCTGGCTATTATCATAAGTATTAATTGCTACATTTATAAAGAAATGTAAAAAAAAAAAAAATAGCTCCCGATAGCACATACAGCAGCTCATGTTTTGTTTTCATTGCTCTGATGAAGGTATGCATCTGTGTTTCCTTAATAGCTCATTGGCTGCAGAGTTCAGAGGCTGCCAGAAGGATCTACGGCGCGCTATACCCGCTGGATCAACTCACTGACTCAGGATCAGCTCATCACTCAGGTAAACGGATACGGTTTGTCCATGAATGCTTGTGGTTTGTACGTGGGTGAGAGGTCGCTTGTCAGGCAGTTACTAGGTCGGACAGGAACAGGATACACATGCGTAGCTCGCAGTTTTGTACGGAAATGTGTCAAAGGATGGGAGGGTGGAGGCGGGATCACTGCTGACCTCAGAGCCCATGCAGGGGAAATAGCTCACTCTCAGTGGAAGGGGGGTGGATGCTGATGGAACAAAACATATTTGCTGACAAAAGCCCTGTGATCTTTCTATGAAAGTTTTTGTTCCAAATGATCCTGTAGCAGATATCAAGTTCGTTCAGTGTGGAAATATTAGTTTGAACAAATGAAACTCACACCAGAGGCTTTCTCTAAATAGTTATAGAAAGGAAAATGAGAAATGTAAAAGAGTTTTGCTTAGGTTTTTTCGAGTGGAGTTATTCCTATAAGCTGTTATTTGGCTTCTATTTCCTCTTTCCTGAATTTCATATTTAACTTAATAACCCAGGAAGAAAACTTGAGTTCCCCAAGACAACCTGCACATGCATGGAGAGAACACCAAAAACCTATGCAGAGAGATGCCAGGCCGGGATTTTAATTTAGGATCTCCTTGCTGCAAGGCACCAGCAGGACAGCTTCAAGACACTGCAGATCAAAAACTTTATTTTACCCTATAAATCCAAGGCTTTGAGTATGTTGAAGAGCTATAAAAAAGGAGTGCAGATTTGTATTGGAATCTAAAGCAGGGCAGAGTCTTACAATTAATACTACCTTTCAATCAATCAAGGAGGCTTGTCAGCAACTGCCCCTTAACTGCAGGAGCAGCAGCCTCTCACTGCAAAATGTCAGAGGGGAACGTGCAATTCAGGTACAATTATCCCAAAGTATGTAGAGGGTGAAACAAAATTTGGTTATATTTCAAAAGCTGTAAAAAGAGGCTTGAAATCAGGTTAATGAAGGGCAATGGCCTGTTGCTGACCTAATAAGGAGCTTAAAACTCTAGTGCTCGTTTGTATGAAGAAAACAAACAAATCTTCTGTTTCTTGTTATAGTTTTGCTTATGCTTAGCTTAGAAAATAGATTATTTGTTGAATTATTTAAAAACGTGTAGTAATAAACTCCACCAAGGCAAAGTGCTGCCATAGGGCACATACGTTTTGTATTTGTGAAAAGCTTCAACATTGATTTATATGTTATTGTCTCGAAATAACTTGATTGACTTGATGTATCAAACCACTGTGTCTGTTGTCTTTGCTCTAAGGTTTGATGAAAAGGCACCAAATGCCTCAGCTAATGCTGTGCCTGACTATGTCACTGGTGAAATTATCCTGTGTTTGTTGGAGCTTTTTTTTTCTCTCTGACTTGCATTTCCATGTGGACAGAGCAGTGTTATAGTGGGCACTACATACAGTACATTTTCCAGATATCCGTTATGGTTGATTAGAGCTAATGAACTTTACGACTGGATAAAGGGAGGAGTCCCGTTCAGGTTGGAGGAGAGCTACTGCCTCAAATATCTTTGAGTTGTGTTCACGAATGAGGAGAAAGTGGAGTGGGAGATCGATAGACAGATCAGTACAGCTGCTGCTGTAATGCAGATGCTGACATCTTTTTCGGATACCTCCCTGGAGAAGTTTTCCAGCCACGTTCCATCGGGAGGAGGATCAGGAGGACAACCCAGGACAAGCTTGAGGGACTATATCTCTCAGCTGACCTGGGATGCCTCAGGCTTCCCGCAGTAGATCTGGAGGAGGTGTCTGTGGAGAGGAAAGTCTGGGAGACTCTGCTGAGGCTGCTTCCCCAGTCACTCTAATCATTTTACAAATGATTAGACCTGTAAAGTGGAAATTAACTGTTTCGTCATGGTTTTTAGGTGTTTGGCCCCCATGCAGACACAGACGGAGAACAAGGAGCAGTTTAAGATGTTTATTTAGACTACACACAAATATGAAGAGTTCACAATGAGAGTCGAAGGCAAGGTTCAGAATGTCAGCGTTTGGGGCTCTGCGGGAGGAAAGTGGAAACTGATTAATACTAAGAAAGTTAGGGAGAACTGTGTTGTTGCTGCTCTGCCTACCGCCAGGTACAGATAACCTATCCGGGGAGGGTGAGTGGAGGAAAGGGTTCTGTAGCTCACAGCTTTCTGAGGGGAGGAGATGGCTAAGCGACAGGTGAGCTAGCGGATGGAAATTAGGCGGTGGTCCAAGCAGTACCACAGCGGAGGCAGGTTCGAGGAGCAGGTGAAGGAACAAGAGTTGATCCAGGAAGGAGGTTCTCTTGCTCGGTAGCACAGAGGGGGCTTGAGGGGAACGCCAGAGCAGAATCAGGGATTCAGGAACCAGTCTTCAGTGCACGGAAACAGACGGGTGAGTAATCAAGAGGACAACGAACTGAGGGTTCATACCAACAGAGGGAGACAGGAGACAAGTTAGAACCAGAAATCCAAAACCTTAAACTTAAACTAACAGGAACGAAGATCTGTCAACAGGACAGAGGCCTAGGCGTACCACATCGTGCTAACACTCTGGCATCCTTCAGCTGACTGAAAGCTCCTCTTAAGCTCCAGTCAGAGCAGCCCCAATGAGCGGCAGGTGTGGGGCCACGCCCACCTGTCAACAACAGCCACCTTTGGCAGAGAATCAGTAGAACACAGAACCCTGGAACTATTTACATTCTATTTCAATCTCCATTTTTTTTTAAAAAAAACCTCTGACCTAGCAATGCCTGTTTTAACCTATTCTGATTAATGTTTTAGAGCTAGAGTTAACATAATTCAAACAAGCTGCTTTTAGTTCGTAGATAAATTAAAATGCTTTAGTACAATAACCAGAGCCTTACTGTTGTAAACAATCAAAAATGTTTTTAGGATTTTACATATTGTTACAGCGCATCTGTAAGACAGCATGGTGTTGTTATTTCACAGCCTTCCTGATTTATAAATTCAGACAAAAAAATGATTGACCTGCATTTAAAACTGATATCAGCATAATGATAGAAACACTTTGCTCCTGCTTATATTTGATGTAACCCATTGGTTAATAATTGATCACTGAAAATTAATTGAAGTCTTTTCTACAGTATTTTCAGTATGGCAAAATGAGTCATAAAAGTATGTATCGTGCTGATGAAGGTTCTCAGTCATCCAGGTCATAGTCATTCCGTAAAAATTAAAAAAATATCCACTGGACTTGGTTTTCAAGATTTGAAGACGTTTCGCCACCTCTCCAGGAAGTTTTCTCAATTCAAATGTCTGGATCCGCAGTGAGTTTGAGTCTTATATGGACAAGGCCTTGTCCATATAAAAAAAAAAAGTATGTATCATTCAAACTTATATTGTATTAAGTCAACATTGATGTCAGCCAATAGTCAAAGCTGCAATATCAATATTGTATAGTATCAGATATGAAACAGTTGTATTGGGACACCTCTAGTAGCTACTGACTGTTTTTAAGGCAAGTACACACCATTAATGATTTAGCATGTGATTAGACAGTAAATCCGATAGTATGTAGTAATCGTGCTAAGAAAAAAACATTTTATCGAAATGCATGTGGTTGGTCAGATCAGCTGCCATTCACTGCAAATATGTCTGCATAGTTCTGGCCGAGGTAAAGCCGTGATCTATTTTGGTTGGACCATTATTTGGACAGGAGGAGAGACAAGGTGACAAAGTAAAACATATAAGACATAATTCATACACAATTAATGATGCATTTTAATAAACAGTCTAGTTTCTCACACCTATGCTGCATTTAATATATTATAGAAAATGTTTATCTTGTTAATTCTGGTTTTTATGTTGTTTTTTTGGCATCTCATTGACAACTCTCTTGTTTTATCAGAATTTAAGGCTTGCTAAATTTATCTCTTAAAAAATCTCTTATTCTGTTTTATGTATAAATTTTTTATTTACTTATGTATTTGTTTTTGTAATTTTTATTAAATCTGGTCTTAAGTATAGCCTTCTCACCTAGTTAGAAGACACAAGTCAAAATGAAAAACAAACATTTTTAACCAAAAGTATTTAAGCATTTTATTAATAGTCTGCATAAACAAAATTGACCCAAATCAAAACAGTAAGGGAGGAATTATTTTATTGTATCTATCTTTTTCCTTATAAATCCCAGCCATGTCTAAGGGAATCAGCCAGCAGTGGGTTCACAGATGCACAGCTTGTTCATTCTCTGGATGCAGAAGGGGAACATCTGCTTTGACTGCAGCTGGGAGGAATTTCTTTATGAGGTACCCCTGTCACATTCTGGGCTGAGGGGGTCCCCAAGGAGCTCTGGCTACTGGCTTAAAAGACCTAGAGTGATACATGCTTTCTGATCAGTTAATCCTAAAAGACATTAAGAAAACATGTTTTATGAGATCATAGATATGGTTTCAAAGATATGATGGGAAATAAACGAATCATAAAAATAAAAAAATAACTTTTTGCTTTAGGCCTCACAGAAAAAAATTGACTCCAGGTAATAATTAATGCAGCTTTTTTGGGAAGATATTTTTTTATTCCATCCCAACAACAAGGTTTTATTGAATTGATTCCTTCTGGTTGATGTCTGCTGTTTTTGAAAATTAAAACAATTTTTACTTCTGATTGACCTGACTAACTGACCAACTCTTTAGTTTCTACTCCTTTTCTACACAATCAATAATAAACATAAAGCCTGAATGCATTGCACTTCATTAGATACCTAATATTGTCCAAATCAATTCAGTTTATTTATATAGCACCAATTCACATGTCATCCCAAGGCACTTTACAATTCAACCAGGTCATACAGACAAATTGATTAAAAGTTTTCTATCTAAGGAAAACCAGTTGATTGCATCAACTCATTGACTCGAAGGCAATTCCTCATACCTAGTATGCTTGTTGCGACTGTGGAGAGGAAAAACTCAGTTTAAACAGGAAGAAACCTCCAGCACAACATGACAACGTAAGCGGCCATCTACAAAAGGCAACTGTAAACCACAGGTGGTCCAGGGAGATTAGTTCCGAGCCAGCTCCCATGTCAAAGGACGAAGAGAGCACATCCAGCCAGTCACAGTCAGAGAAACAGGACTATTTTGTCTTCATTCAGAAGCAGAAAGTTTAGAGTCCCCACGCTTTCAGAAGCAGCTCCCACAAGTTGGATTGCTTGGATGGGCACTTCTTGTGTACCATATGGTCAAGCTGCTCCCATAACAGCTCAATGGGGTTCAGATCTGGTGACTGCTCTGGCCACTCCATTACCGATAGAATACCAGCTGTCTGCTTATGCTCTAAATAGTTCTTGCACAATTTGGAGGTGTGTTCAGGGTCATTGTCCTGTTGTAGGATGAAATTGGCTCCAATCAAGCGCTGTCTACTGGCTATAGCATGGCGTTGCAAAATGGAGCGATAGCCTTCCTTATTCAGAATCCCTTTTACCCTGTACAAATCTCCCACCTTACCAGCACCTACACAACCCCAGACCATTACATTGCCTCCACCATGCTTAACAGATGGGGTCAGGCATTCTTCCAGCATCTTTTCATTTGTTCTGCGTCTCACAAACGTTCTTCTTTGTGATCCAAACACCTCAAACTTGGATTCATCCGTCCACAACACTTTTTTCCAGTCTTCCTCTGTCCAATATCTGTGTTCTTTTGCCCATCTTATTCTTTTTCTTTTATTGGCCAGTCTCAGATATGGCTTATTCTTTGCCACTCTGCCCTGAAGCCCTGAATCCCGCAGCCGCCTCTTCACTGTAGATGTTGACACTGGTGTTTTGCGGGTACTATTTAATGAAGATGCCATTTGGGGACCTGTGAGGCGTCTGTTTCTCAAACTAGAGTCTAATGTACTTATCTTCTTGCTCAGTTGTGCAATGCAGTCTCCCACTTCTTTTTCTACTCTGGTTAGAGCCTGTTTGTGCTGTCCTCTGAAGGGAGTAGTACACACCATTGTAGGAAATCTTTAATTTCTTAGCAATTTCTCGCATGGAATAGCCTTCATTTCTAAGAACAAGAATAGACTGTCGAGTTTTAAATGAGAATTCTTTTTCTGGCCATTTTGAGCGTTTAATTGACCCCACAAATGTGATGCTCCAGAAACTCAATCTGCTCAGATGTGTGAACATGATTGCACAAGGGTTTTCTAATCATCAATTAGCCTTCAGAGCCAATGAGCAAACACATTTCACCATTAGAACCCTGGAGTGATAGTTGCTGGAAATGGGCCTCTATACACCTATGTAGATATTGCACCAAAAACCAGACATTTGCAGCTAGAATAGTCATTTACCACATTAGCAATGTATAGAGTGTATTTCTTTAAAGTTAAGACTAGTTTAAAGTTATCTTCATTGAAAAGTACAAAGCTTTTCCTTCAAAAATAAGGACATTTCAATGTGACCCCAAACTTTTGAACGGTAGTGAATATCTTTTTTATGTTGAAAGAAAGGTCTCCTTGTTCTGATTTAAGAAAACACACTGTAGCCTTGGATACAAGAAAACCTGAAGTCACTTTTTTTGCAGCATTCATGCACAGTGTCACCGTCTGCATAAGTACTCAACAGACATGATATTAGGTTTCATGGAGTATTAGAGTGAGATCATACCCGGATTCTCAAGATTAGGTGCTGCTCCGTTTTTCCTGCTTTCAATATATTCTGCTTCACATTACTACCTTAAACCACAAAAATCTAGTGTTGCTTCATACATATAACCTTATATATTACTACCCAAAAAACCCTCCTACCCTCCTGATTAGTCACAGTCAGCCTCCTACTGCGGCTGCTGTTTTCCCAGAACTCATTCTTATTCTTCTTATTCATGATTTGGCCTCAGCTTACAGCTGAGAAATGTTGCAATGTTACAACAGACAGGCAAAAGAAAGAAGCGTGTAGGTGGAAACATAGCCCACTACCCTACCCCGCCCACCACCACTCACACACACTATCCAGATAAGATTTAGTCCAGCTGTTGTTAGTGGTTGGAACCAGATGTTTGGCACAGTTTTCTACATCTGCGATACGTTTCTGGATTGCTCTAGCAGCGTATTCGCTCCGTAAAATGTCCCATGCATGCCCCAACACACACATGTGCCCATATGGGCATGCTGTGTGGAAATTAGAGATGCAGTTAGAAGCAGAAAAAGATCCGTTTGACATGATCTTCTGGTTCATGGGGTGAAAATATTAGAAAACACATAGAGGAAAGGATAAAGGAGATGAGGCGGTTGCAGGGAAAGGAGGGAAAATATTGAGGTTGTTTCACATGAGGTAGTTTGAGAGAAGAAAAGCAAAAACACAAGTAAGTGGTAGATCATGTGTGAGAATGGGAATGTTTTCTCTTTACGCTGTAAGAGAGTATATGCATGTCTGATTCGTTTTAAAGATTAAAGTAGATATGCCCCCCCCCCTGTGAGCGGAAAGGTTAGTAACTTCTGACGAGTATTTTGCATCAGACCTTAGGTTGATTGAAACTCTTGACCACCCTGGGAAACTATTCAGCCGTCTGATATAATACTATGGTCACTTCAGTGTGTAGACCAGTAGTGTACTTTGTCAACTAACATTACCATTTTAAGTAACTACTTCTCTATGTGGCTGAATTCTTTGATGAAACCTTTGTGTTCAAGTGCAGCACGAACATAAGTGCTAATTTCAATTCAAGTGGACAGTTTGAAATGTTTTATATCTGGCAACAAAATGCATCCATCTTCATAACATCATACCAAGCCAGTCATGATGCAAATAAATACGTAGCCATGAAGATGAGCCCACAGCTGTTATGGTCTGTCAATCTTCCCAATACTCATATAACAATGATAGATTTTGGAGAGATTTTCTACAAAATGCTTTATGATTTTAGACATATGTGGTACACTTGAGCTGTAAGTCAACTAAAGGAGATGTTCTTTATTTACTAAAGGTGGTGACAGAACAAATCATATATGAGTAGTGTCATGAGTGCTCTGGGTAAGCTGGGTTTCACCCTAAGCCTGCTGTTAGGTTCCTGTTATCTCAATTGACAGACCACATTTTATCTCATGAAAGCGGACGCTGTCAGCTCCAAACCAATCATTACAAGAATCTAATTACAGCTTTAACTCTGAACTCTACTTGTCAGTATACAGTACTGACATATCGCTGTGAATCAAACTTTAGTTGAAATGTTGTTCTTTATGTAAATCAATTCAAAAACCCTAATAAAAATGTATAACGCGTGGCACAATATGCTTTAGGTATATTTGTTGTCTTTAGAGGTTTGTGAAGTGTGACCTCTTTAAGAATTGGGGGAGAATCACATAAGCAGGCAGTGCTTTAAGGGCACCACTAACAGATTAACTCAGGATATGGTCTAAAATGTTTGTATTCCTTTTGGTAAGTCAAAGCCAAATTGGAAAAAGTATCAGAATCATCTTACCTGGGATAAATGGAGATAAAATGGCTGGTTAAGCATGCAACACATTTTTCGAGGCCTTAGTCCTTGAAGCATCTGCCAAAGATTCAAGTCTCAACCTGTTGACCTTTGCTAGGTGTCTCCCACCCCTCTTATTTCTGTCAGCCTTTATTGAAAAAAAAGGCCTCTAATGACAAAAAGGACAATAATAGACAATTTAATCCAGAAGATATTAATTTGTATTTAGTCCAAAATGTACTTAAATTATTAATTCTGATGTCTTTTCCAGAGTCAGTTCATTTAGTTTAAGTGTTTTATTGTATATTACACTGTGTAAATGGAAATGATCAAGTGATCAAAACTACAGTAATGTTCATTCTTCTGCCTAGTTTCTTTGGATGGATGGTGGCTGATCATTCCGTACGTTAAGACACTCCTTTACCAAGTTTTTATGGTGTTCAGGAATATAACACTTTGTTTCATAATCCTGATATAGGAAAAAAAAGTTTTCCTTCTGAAACAGGAATGTTTTTTCTGCAGATGAAATAGCGACAGTCTTGTTGCTTCATTTAACAACTTCTCAACCACAGAATCATTGTTATGGCAAATTCTTAAAAAAGAAATCTCCTGTTTTTGTGTTTGTCTAATGTGTCAGTGTTATTATATCTGTTATTGGTCTGTCCTATCAGGTATACACCTCCAATGGGCCCACGGTCGTCATGCCAACATGGTTCTGCCCTAGAAAGTTGTTCCGGAAAGTTGGATTGTTTGACGAAGGTGGCAAGGTGAAATTTCACTCACATCATTCTTTAAACTGCTTGTAAATCTAGTTAGCACTTGATGCATGAAGCATTTTATATTCTGAACACGTAGTGCATTTTTTAATAAAGCCAATGTCTTTTATTATGAAGAGATTTTTTGAGTTTTCCCATTTCTAATGCACAGAATACACACTCCTGAAATTTGTGAATAAAGATATTTTGACTAAAATTGCTAACTGGCAAAAACAAAAAAGGGTGTAAAAAGAGCATCCGAAGGCCCAAAGTGAAATGTTTTACTTATCTTATAGTATTTGTAGGATCCAATCAGAAAGTTAACTTGAGGTTTATTTGTTAGAGTTTAGAGCTGATATGATTTTTAACTGATTATTTGTAGATGTATGGGTCAGATAAATCTGGGTGGAGATTTTTAATTGGGCATATTACTCACCCGTTGAAGTGTCACACGAGGTGAGAATGCCACTTTATTTTTTGTTAAACGCTTTACAGATTACTACTATTAATGTTTGTGAGGTTATTTTTTGAATATGTTTTTCTATATAATTTTTTCCCTCTTTTTTTTCCCTTTAATATATTTAAAGGAGTACTATTTGATCTGAACAGATCCCTTCTGTTTCCACGAGCGAGATAAGAAACAGGCCGACCTCAGCCTGTCAGATGCTTTTTATTTGTTTCCTGAAGTTGCTGCAATAATATCGATTTCTTAATTGAATTTCATCCCTGGTGAATATATAAAAATATGTCCACATGGGATACTGTCATCAACATCCAGATACCCTTATATCTTTTCTATTTGTAGATGTGCACCATGGCTATCTGAGACATTGAAGGTATCTTTACAGAATACTTAAAAATATTAAAGTGATTTTGTTCTCATAAAAAATATACATAGTTTGTTACATTCATTGGTAATGATAAATTATTTGAATAAATTCATTAATAAAAGACAATTCAACACACACCATTTCTTTGTATCTCCATAACACAACCCTAATAGCAGAAACATAGGAATTTAGCGACCACAGATTGTAGTTTACAGACACTACTAATAAGACTACTATTAATTAGTTAAACACTATAAAAATGTTTAAACAGGTTATTTTTGTATCAAAGATCATTGTGGCACACCATATGAATTTCTTTATATTGTAGTTCTTTAGTCTGACATTTTTCGCAAATTTCCATTAGTATAGTGTTTTTTATGTCTTATCTCAGTATTTTGTTTTTGTCATGGTTTTCTTTAATACGTTAAAATAATTCCCCATAATAATTTGCACACAGAAATAACTGATATGAAAGTGTGTGCCAGGCAGGCTTCATCCTTATTTAGACTGTGCTCAGTTTGTCTCGGAAACTGGAGCTTGGAAGTGAGAATGACATGATCCCCAAACTGAGAACATTCCAGATGTCAGTCAGATAAAAGTGGGATGAGCTATTTATTGTGGCATGAAATAATGTTGGTAATAAAAGCCATTGACAAAATATATTTCTCTTATTTTGTTAATTTTACCACTTGCAAAACTTGTTCACAAACGGCTATTTTACAGCTCTGTGTAAAATAGAAACTGTTATTCATGTGACTCCCTCTATAGTTAAAATATATGGCAGCCATGTTTTATAATAGATATAAGTCTACCTGACGAACTCTGACTTTCCCAGTTGGAATTTATGCTTTTTTTTTAAATTATGATTTCTGAGTAAAAAAAGAAATAAATTCAACTTCATGTGACGCCATGCAGATCCGCTGTATGCACCGCTAAAGATTTACTCACCCCTCATGCGAAATGCTAACCTGACAACAGCCAGATGCATGTCTCGCTCCGCCCAGCTCCACTCACATACGTGTGAGTGGAGCTAGGCGGAGCGAGACATGCATCTGGCTGTTGTCAGGTTAGCGAAATGCAGGATTAGCGGTAAACTGACCTGACCTTTTATCTATTTTAGCCAAATAGTATTTAACCTCTACAGTCCACTCAGTCTCTGTGCGAAGCATTGAAGTTTCTGTCTAATATGGCCATATGATCATTTCTAACAGATAAAAACACCAATGCTAAAGCTAACTTTTGCCCTGATGCAGCTAAACAATACACATTTTATTAACTTTATCTGCAAAACCAGGGTTGTTCATATGTAAATACATGACAGAATACATTTTTCATTTATTTAACCTTATTTCCTTACATATTGCATATTGATGCATGTAAAAAGTGTAATGTAATGCAATATGAAGCAAACTTTGGGTTATCACTATTACACTACAAAAAATATAAATCTAAATAAGGCATTTTTTATTGAATTCAGGAGGTAAGTGAGACACTTTGCCAATGGAACAAGTCAATTTACATTTAAAATAAGAAAAAAAAAGCATTATCTTATTTCAGGTGCATATTATCTAATTATCATATTTTAAGAGTAAAAATACTCATTCCATTGGCAAAGCAACTTATTTATCTGCTCAAATTAAGGGTGAATGCAATTAAAGTTTTTTTTTTTTTTCAGTGTGCAATTAATTAAAAACAGTTGCAATATATAAACTCTGTTATTTCAAACTAAACAGGTTTCACCTCTGACAGGACATACTGTACCTTCACTAACTAGATCCAATTTTCTCTGCTCGCTCTTCAGGGTGTCCCAGAGGATCTGCTCTTCTTCTACCAGCTTCTTCGTCAAGGGGTGTGTCCGATCAGGGTCGACCAGATCCTGTTGGTTTATCGTTACCATGAGAGGGCTGCTACGCATTCTGTGACAGAGTCAGTCTCACCATTCACCCTCCTTGCCATTAAGTCTCTCTCACACACACACAAACACACACAACCGGTCATATTGTTGGTCCTCCACCTACATGCAGCTGCCAACTGGCATCCCTGAGTTTCCCAGGCCTTCACATGCACTCATACACAAACTGAAGTACTGTTACTGACACACACACTCAGAGCTGTTTTGGGATTTTTGAGATTTGATGACAGTGTCTGTGGAATTCCACTCACTTTCCCAGCATCCTAATCAGGAATTTTGGCCTTCTCTGCCTGGAATGTTCAGAATTCATTCACTGATGCTCTGAGAGAATTAGATCTCGGTGTGAACAGAAATGTTACGCATGTTGTGTGTCAGAATGACATTCCTGCAGCTGCCTGAGATTTAACATGCAGGTGTGCATGTGTCTGTGTGTCCTTTAAGGCTAAATAAATGATTATATAAGGAACTTTCTCAATAAAAAACTTTCTGACTGTATATCTGCTGGGTGTGATTCCTCCGAGTTCATCACCCTTTCGCATGTTTTTTTTTCATCTCTCTATTTTTGGAGGCCTATTACAGGCATGTCTAATTTCTGCTCTACCCCACTCCTGTCACCCCTCCCATAAACTGCCTACCTACTTCCTCACTAGCCAAATGAAACTGTAAACCTATTTCTGTCTGTCACATAGACAGTGCAGATGGCATTATATGAGGTGAAACTATTTTCTTTAAGGATGGTGGATGGTCAGATGGCATATGATATGCAACTGACTGGTTCTGTTTTTAAATGTGAGTGGCAGCTGTGTGTTGAGGAAATCTTTGCCATATTGCTGCCATGTCTTGGAGGCGACACATGTAAAAAATGAAACAAAGCAAACCTCTAGAGACCACCCAGGCTCTCCAGTGGTGTTAATTTAGATTTGTTTGCCTTATGAGGTTTGTTGCTACAGACAGAAAAAAGGAACACTCTGGAAAATAAAGAAAAGTGCTTAGGTTGAATGTGTGCATATAATCAATGTCGTTCTCAGGTTTGAATGCGTAAAAAGCACAAAGACCAGTTTTACAGTTTGAGTTTGTTCTACTAGACTGCACAGTGGCACAGTTTGTAGCACTGTTGCCTTGCAGCAACAAAGTTCCGGGTTCAATTCTACTTGGAGTTTGCATGTTCTCCCTGTGCATGCGTGGGTTCTCTCCGGGTACTCTGGCCTCCTCCAACATTCCACAGACATGACTGTTTGACCTGTCCAGGGTGTACCCCACTTTTCGCCCATAGACTGCCGGAGATAGGCACTGCCCCTTCAGGATCCTGATAGAAGAAAGTATGGATGGATGGATGGAGAGAGTGTTCTACTGTGAATTCCGACATGTATTTGCGGATATGGCACACTTGGAGCCTAGCAAGTGTTTTATTTATTTGATATAAATGAGACCAGGCCAACACTTTTTGCAGTTGTATTTTCAGTTTCATTCGAATGTCTGCAGTTGGATAACATTGAGGCATACAATATAAAATGTATGTTAGCTTTAGATGATAAGCAGTCTTGTTTTAATTATGGTAATTCCCCTAAATAAAATCCAATGTCAAGTAGTTTGCTTTAGAGGTCGCCTTATAGGTTAAACGGGTCTGTCTGGGTGTGATTTAATTTAATCATAAACCTAGCTGTCATGTGAAGGTCAAAGACAGTTATTTGGAGAATTGAAGTTAACAACATCAAGGAAACCAGAGAGTAGGCCAGAGTTCAGAGGTAATGTTGCGGAGAGTTTTAAAACAGAGTTAAGTTATAATACAGTGTTCTGAGCTTAGCACACCAAAGGGAGCATTGTTTAGTTTATAATGCAGGGAGTGTTGCACAGCTGCTAACCTGCTGCGAAATAGCTGTCCACCCAAACTCACCGGCCCAACAAGGATAGTATTAATGGCATTAACAGGCAGTAGCTCCATGGAAAGTCTGAGGAAGCTTCAGAGAACCAATCGAGTGGGAGAACATAAGGGCTAGGGCACTTCATAAATACCTTTAGGTAAAGGTGACAAGGAGAAAGGCATTTTTGTGCTTACATAAAACAAACGGGAGTCATGTTTGCATCTACACATGCAATATTCTCCCACATGTGAAATGCTATGTGTGACAGAAAACTTGCACCACAGATCATCCTTAGCTTGCCATCCTACAGTAAAGCACGGTAGGTGCATCACAGTTTTGGTGTGGCCTTCCGCAGAGGGAATACAAAAGCGGGTAAGAGTTGAAGGGCAGATGGACAGAGCTAAATATTTAGCAAAACTTGGAAAAATATCACCTTTATCAGGATAAAAGAGACTTCATACTAGGGTGGAGGATTACCTTCCATACGGCAAGCAAATCAATGGAATTGTTTTGATCAAAAGTTTTCCAATCACTGTTAGACTTAATTAAAGCTGAAAACCCTCATAGATACTCTTTATCCAATCTGTCTCAGCCTGGACTATTCACCTAATATTAAAGGTCAGAAAATACAGTTTATAAGTTTGTCTAATTGGCAGACAGAGACCCAAATAGATTGGTGGTTTGATATATTCTTGGCTTGTCTGAGTCAAATCAGTTTTCTTTCACTTCACAAAAATGAACAAACATTCTTAGTGAAATAAAATTTTGAAAAAAATATATTGCAGTTTGTGTTGGAAATTAAAAAAATTAAATACTCAAGAGACTTTAAGTTGCCCAATCATAGAAAGTATAAAGTTATATATTTTTTCCCCAGAGTTGTGTATTTTGAATTGAGGCCTAAAAATGCTGTTATATAAGCTCTAGTTGTAAAATTATCTCATGATTATGACATAATTTATCTTTTCTGCCATCAGGGAGACCATCTGGAAACTGCGAGTAGACTTTCTGCAGGAGAGAGTTCTCAGGCACTGGGAGAACTTCACCATATGGAACGCTGGTAAACAAGGGAGGAAGCTCTACCGAAGCCTGAGCCTGATCGATCAGAAGAAAGTATGTCAGTGACAGTCCTGATGTGTGACACTAAAATGTGCTGTTTTTCATGTTTTGAAGGCGTTGTTTACCCTAATCAGCATTCAGTGTTTTTTTTTCCACTTAAGGTCAAAGCATTCTGTGATGTGGATGCAAACAAAATTCAGAAGAATTTCTACACATATGAGGAATCCAAGGTGAGATCACGCGGATACAAATTCAGGTTTTGTTGTTAATTGTTCCTTCACAACAGAGCTGTCAGGCCTTTGATTCCTAACATTCAACCAACACTTATAAACTGTTTAATGTTTATAACATTTTCTGTTGATATGTCTCCAGCAAAGACCAAAGCCTACAATCCCCATCTTGCACTACAAAGAAGCCACGGGCCCCTTTATTATCTGTGTTAAACTGGTGAGCTGAGAGTGTGTTTGCGTGTTGTATGTTTGTTGTTTCTGACCGCTTGTCCCTCAGGTCTGTTTCCCAGCCTAACAACATAATGATTCAGGGCGTGTGCCCAGTACAGGATGTAAAACTAACAAACATGAGGGGAGGCTGTCAGGAAATGGGAAGAGGCAGCTGGCTGATCTTTGATCATGGCATGGTTGTGCAAACATATCGTGCTATGAATGATGATGTATGGTTGGAAAGGTTTAGGTTTGATTGTGAGACAGCATGACTGAAAACCCAAGTTTTCCTGCATTTCTGTTAGTATGTAAAAACAAGTTAGAAAAGGCTTCTTTGTCACTAAGCAAGATTTAGATTTAAATCTGAAGAGACCCCACCTATGTGGTCTACTAATTGCCCAATTAAGGAAATTGGCAGAAGTAATCACTCACAGAAAACAGAAATCTGGACTCAATCACAGATTTCCTCATTATCTTTAATAATGTTCACATGGCTAAAGTCTTTTGTTACTTTTCATTCAAAAACCAACACAAAAGAAGCTGTTAAAATGTATCACATATATATATATTTTTTTTTTTATCTTTTTATGTTTTTCTTATGTAAGACTGCTTTTTATGTTGTGGTTCCATTTGTAGGACATGACAGGAGGAGTTCTAGAGGAAAACCTCAACTCTTTGCAGCTGAAGGAAGGAACAGATTACTACCATTTCAACTGACAGTTCAGAGTGATGCAGAAGACCACAGGAGCCCTGCAGGTTAAACAGACAAAGGACTGGTTATTGAAAACATAAACACAACCTCAGTGATAGACTGCTTCTAAACAGGACGTGAAGCAGTAACAGATTATAGGACAAAGAGGAAAGAAGTTCATATTTCACATAAAATATTGAAGGTCCTATTTTATTTTAAGTCCCAATGGTTCAACTTGGCAAAGTTATCTGGTCTGGTTTTCTGCTTCTTTCTTTTTTCTCAGTTTCAACTTTGTTACTCTTGGCGCTTTCCGTAGCGCTTTTACAAAAAAAAACTATTTTTAGGGGAGTGCACTTTTATTTTTTTCATTTTTGTGTTTTCTCTTATCTAATGTCAGAATTCAAATAAAATTGAAACCAATTTACTTCTGTAGATGAAATGACGCTTAAGAAATTGTAAAATCCACAGCAGCTGAGCAGCCTCTTTAGAATACTTGCTCACATTGTTGATCATATGGTAAAAGTTTCTTATGGTTTTCAAAGGTTAATGAAAGAAACTACTGGTCCAACTCAATAAGTTATAGAATAATTACAAAGTTATGTGTTTCTCTGATACAATTAAAAAAAGTTTTTCTGACACATTATATAGATTTATTTAGTACAGTCATATATTTCAAGAGTTTATTCCTGCTAATGGTTCTGCTTACAGCAAATAATAACCCAAAACTCCGTCTCTCAGAATGTGGCATATTCCATAAGACAATGTTATCTTTAATTAGTCTGCTGTAAAAATTCACTGATGTATCAGGAAAGAATATACATTCAGTTCTAGTTTGCTCCTCAATATGCATGATTTTTTGCATCATTTGTGAATTAATTAATGTGATGTCAACTGCGAAAGTGCTCCGTCTACATTGAAATGCAAGTCAGAGTAAACAAAAGTTCTCACAAAAGTATAGTGGTTTAACCCCGACATAGTGAAGCACGATGTTACTTGAGAAATTCAATATGGCATAACTGATCAGCAGACTTTCAGGCAAAGACAGCCTAAAATGTTTTTAGCATCAAGCCAGTAAAGTTATTTCAAAGCACAACAGATAAATCAGCTTTAAAGCCCACATTTTTCACAGGGAGAGAAAAATGATAAAGAATACAGTCAGGCTGGCTGAGTAAAGTTGTGTGTGTGCCTTTTTAAAGTTAAAAAAGCAGGTGAATAAATATATTACGTAATAGAGAGGGTAAAAATCTAAAACATATTTTATTTATTTCAAAGATGCATATAAAAGAAAAGCATAAACAGAACAGCATTTTACAATATAGAGGATACATAGTTTGAAAAGGAGGAAGTAGAAGTGTGAAGTTAAGTATCCCACCCCCTTCAGTTCATAATCCAGCAACAAAAGCCTTTCCAAGCTAAACATAAGCAAACAATGTAGTTACAAAAACTTAGATTATTAACTTTGAACAAACAACCCTCAGCCCCAGTGGTTACTGGTTTTGCAGTTGCTCATGAGGTTAATAGCTTTGTTCATCTTTTACATTTTCCAAGACTCCTTTTTTACTTTTGTATTTGCTCTGGGTCCACTCTCTAATACTTTGAGTAATATGTGTCTGATTTGCATGGTCAAATGTACATGTTCCACTTTATCACACAAAACTTAATTTATGGACATCGATGGTTTGATTTCTTTGTATGTGTGGATTGAATGGATTGCTACCAACATCTTGTGAAAAGGTAATCTCAATAACACCTCTAACAATATTTTTCCTGAGAAAAGTGTTGGCGTGTTCAATAGTTATTCCACCCACTGTGTGTCTTCAGATTAGTGGGTCTAAACTTGTGTCTCTTATGTTCTTAAAATAGAATAGAAAACCTCTTATTGTCCCACAATGGGGAAATTGTGGTGATACAGCAGCAAAAGGTTATAGCAGAAGTGGTCACACAATGTGAACCTTAGAAAGTGTATAAAAATAACAGAATGATTAACAGATAAGTTTTAGGCTCTTCTAAATTCTGGTCAATCACTCACAGTGGAATCTTAACCATCATAGCAGCTTTTGTTACATTTAATGCAGCATGAGATCAGCATTTCTGTATGGCCTGTCTCCAGAGCAAAGCATGAAGTGCTCTGTAAAACCCTGGTTTAGATAGCCTTGCTTTAGATGTCTACAGCACAGAGGACCAGCACCAGCAAAATACATAAAGCATCATAATTAACTACTTATCAATTGACCTCATGCAAACATGGGTTCTGTCACTTTTTTAATTAAATGAATTAAATTCAAGATGGAAAATAATAGCATATTGTTTAAATTGATTACCCCATATTGTTCCAATTGATTAGGCCCACAAATGCACTGACTAAAAGCTGCAAGGGTTGGCAAATAAAAGCACAGAAGTTTCAACAACTGATATGCAAAAGAAAACATGAAGTGATGTTAACTTTTGAGAGGAAAAACACATCATGGTTACCAGCATTACCTCTGGGGAATGTTTTACTGTTCCTGACCCTGTATGAGCTGCACTAGTTAAATACTAAGCCGTTCACATGTTCAACAGAGTATGCGGCTCCTTAAGGGTGGATGTTTTATGACCCGATTTCGAAACAATCATTGTCTGATGCAACCATGTAAAATCAGATCCACACATGCACATCTGCTACAAATGAACAAGATGGATTTTGCTCTGTTGTTTTTTTTCTTTTCACTGCATCTCTTGTGAAAACTAAAGAACAATAACCTTTTTAAGAGGGCACAGTTGTCATACATAAACACAGAGAAAGGGTTTATTTTACCTCACAGAAAGAGGAGATTTTCTGCCCAAAGTTAAACAGTTTTTTCTGGGTCAGCAACATGGTCTGAGTTACTGTAAATCTGGCCACAGAAGTTTTAAAATAAATCACAATAATGGTTAAAAACTCAACTTATTGTCTCAATTTTTGTTGTTGTTGTTTTATCTTTACGCAATACTTTTAAAATGACGCGTACCCTTTGAAAAAGATCTTATTTTTTTTATTTCAGCCCCAAAATTCAATGTACTTTACCGTGACTTTAAATAATACAAATAAGGTAACACACAGCTGCAAAGAAAAAGGAAAATAGGGCCTTAAAAAATCACTACAAATGGAAATTTAAAAAGCTCCCCATCCCCTTTAACCCTGTCAATGTCAACTTTATTTATATAGCACCTTTAACAAAGATGCGTTTGTTCAAAGTGCTTTACTTAGGGACAAGAGAATATATATATATATATATATATATATATATATATATATATATATATATATATGTGTGTGTGTGTGTGTGTGTGTGTGTGTTGGCGGGGTAAACACAAAAACACATACTTAAAACACTGGAAGATAATAATAAAAATAGTAGAAGATTGGAAAAAACAGAATGAAGCTGCTCAGCTTGAGTTAAAAGCCAGTGCATACAGGTGGTTTTTTTTTTTTGTTTGTTTGTTTTTTTACAAAGACTTCAAAATGCAAAGCAACTGCTGCTGTAAAATTCAAAGGAAGATGGTTCCATAGTGTTGGCACAGCCACAGCAAATGCCCAGTCCCCTCTAGTTTACTGCCTTGCTCTTGGCACAACCAAAGTCAGTTGATTTACTAATACACCTAAATACAATCCAGACAAGCCAAAAAAAACCTTAAAGTCACCTATTACTATGGCTATGTTTTGTTTTTCACATCATTCCCACCTTTTTTGTGAAAGCCTCAGAGGTTTTTTTCTAGAAATAAGTAAAAATCATGAAGACAAAGGAACATAGTAGGGAGAAACTACGGATTTAATGAAATATTCTAGGTTTTGAAGCTCTTACAGAGGACTGTACAGTCCATCATCTGAAAATGGAAAGAATAATAAAAAGCTTTAAACATTGATGGCTGTTAAATCTAATCTGATAGTTTAAAGGGGTCCAGCATTAACTAGAGAAGGAGCAATGATGCCTTCAGGGATTGTACAGATAGAATTAGAAAAACTTTCAGCTATGAACTCAAGATATATAGTTTGAGCAGTTTAAGGTTATTTCTTAACAGGACTAAAAAGAAAGATTCTCCTAAATACATCTTTAAATTATTTATTATTCTCAAGTATCAAGCTGTAAACCTTAATAACTGCATTCTGATTTACATTTCTGGGTTTTTTTGTGTTTTTTTTTCTCGCTCTGACTTCCTGTGCACCAAATGCCATTCTGGGATATATGACTGATTAAAATTGAAGAGTTGAGGGAAAGACGGGTGGAGCAAAAAACAGGCATTAAACATCATTTTGCTTAATTTTTTGCAACTATAATCTAACAAAAATTATTAACAAAATTCAGTGTTTAAATTCTCTGTATTAAATCATTTATAACAAATAGTTAAATGTATAGGAGGATGTTCTTGTTCCGGTTGGATCATCAAAATAAGTGGTCCTCCTAATTATCAATTATTCTAGTGATATGTTTACGTAAGTCCATCCTATGTGCTTGCCCCATTTTCACTTACCAGTGGTGAGTCTGACATAGTGGAAAAATTTAAATCTTATTTTGCAAAGTAAGTTTGTATGAGCGATGCAAACGGAAACTTTTTAACAGAACTTGCATGAGGATAAATGGGCCCCTTCATGCTCTCACACACATTTAATAGGCGTTCCCTCTTGTGAGCGGATACAGGGTTGTGCATGTGCAACTTTTTTTTTTGAGGGGAGAGGGTGAGTCTTTTCAAAAATTCACAAAAATCCTCCACTACCTTTAAAGTTTAACTTAGTCAAGTTTAAGTTGATCCCCCAAAGTGTGGAAATAATACCCTAACTCTGGAGCCTGTGTGCCCTTACTGGTCAAATAAACTTACAAACAAACAAACATGCAGCTGGAAGATGTCTGTGTAGTTCTGCTGTTAAAAATCTATAAGACCTGGGAGTGTTGGAGTGGAGCGGTCCTAGAGGTCTGAAACTGAGGGCTTCTCTTTCTTCAGTTTAAAACATTACTTTTGTTGCAGCATCTCTTTACATGTAAGATAAGTGCATTAGCGTGAGGAGTGGGCTGACTTATTACCAGGAAGCTTCCATTGCCCTCTTCCTGTTATTAACCTTAACACCACCAACCACAAAATGATGCTGCTGTATCGTATACA